GCCGCCGCCGCCGCCGCGTTGGGGATGGAGCGGGAAGCGGCACCTTGGGGCCTCGAGCCCCAGGATGTGCGAAGTCCTGTTGAAATAGGGAGCCCCGGAGAGCCCCTGAAAGGTGAGGAGGGTTGCTCCTCCGAGGAGTGGAGCTGGGAGCGGGGAGGGGGGCTGCGCTCTGTAGGAGGGAAAGGGGCTGGGGCACCTGGGACTTGGGGTGGGGTGGGGACTTGGGGTCCTGGCTTGGCCAGAGGAGTTGAGAATTTCAGCACCTGCGTAAGGGCCAGCGACCCTGCCTGGGGAGTAGGGAGAGGTTTGTGGCAACTAATGGACCAAATGACCTTCCAGGCCCCGCACCCTAAGTTTTCTCTAATTCTCTGATCCTGCAGGCAACACGAGTGAAAATGAGGAAGAGGAAATTTCTCAGCAAGAAGGCAATGGGGACTATGAAGTTGAAGAGATACCTTTTGGGCTTGACCCACAAAGCCCTGGGTTTGAGCCACACAGTCCAGAGTTTGAATCCCAAAGCCCCAGGTTTGAGCCTGAAAGCCCAGGGTTTGAGTCCAGAAGCCCTGGATTTGTGCCCCCAAGCCCTGAATTTGCACCCAGAAGCCCTGAGTCAGATCCTCAGAGCCCTGATTTTGAAGCCCAGAGCCCTAGATATGAACCCCAAAGCCCTGGTTATGACCCCAAGAGCCCTGGATATGAACCGAAGAGCCCTGGCTATGACCCCAAGAGCCCAGAGTATGTGTCCCGGAGCCCTGAATTTGAGTCTCAGAGCTCCAGGTATGAATCCCAGGACCTGGGATATGAACCCCCAAACCCTGGAATTGAAGCTCAGGATCCTGAGTTCAAAACTCACAGCCCCGAATTTGAAGCTCAGAGTTCCAAATTCCAGGAAGGTGCAGAGGTGCTTCTGAACCCTGAGGAAAAGAATCCCTTGAGCATCCCCCTAGGAGTTCACCCCCTGGACTCCTTCACTCAGGGTTTTGGGGAGCAGGCCACAGGGGCCCTGCCCCTGGGGCCACCTTTTGAGATGCCTACGGGGGCCCTACTGTCATCACCCCAGTTTGAGATGCTGCAGAGTCCCCTGGGCTTGACAGGGACCCTTCGGGGTCCAGGCCGGCGGGGTGGCCGGGCCAGGGGTGGGCAGGGCCCGCGGCCTAACATCTGCGGCATCTGCGGGAAGAGCTTCGGCCGCGGCTCCACCCTGATCCAGCACCAGCGCATCCATACGGGCGAGAAGCCCTACAAGTGTGAGGCCTGCGGCAAGGCCTTCTCCCAGAGCTCCGACCTCATCAAACACCAGCGCACGCACACCGGCGAGCGGCCCTACAAGTGCCCGCGCTGCGGCAAGGCCTTCGCCGACAGCTCCTACCTGCTTCGCCACCAGCGCACCCACTCCGGCCAGAAGCCCTACAAGTGCCCGCACTGCGGCAAGGCCTTCGGCGACAGCTCCTACCTCCTGCGGCACCAGCGCACGCACAGCCACGAGCGGCCCTACAGCTGCCCGGAGTGTGGCAAGTGCTACAGCCAGAACTCGTCCCTGCGCAGCCACCAGCGGGTGCACACCGGGCAGAGGCCCTTCAGCTGCGGCATCTGCGGCAAGAGCTTCTCGCAGCGCTCGGCACTCATCCCACACGCGCGCAGCCACGCCCGGGAGAAGCCCTTCAAGTGCCCCGAGTGCGGCAAGCGCTTCGGCCAGAGCTCCGTGCTGGCCATCCACGCGCGCACGC